ATACCAACATTCACTATATTTACAAGGTTTCACAGCTTCCTTTGCAACCCCGTCACTAAAATCATAATGGACAAATCGTAATATATACTAAAATAGAAACAGAAAGGTTGCAATTCATTTACTTAAACCAAAAGAATATCCGAGTTGAAGACTGTGTCTACTTGCGCGATGCAAAATAGTGTTACAACAGCAGAAGTCACGTGACACTAGTAACACGTCATGATATTCTCGAAGGGTCTTGAATGCTCGAGTGTTTACTAGAGGGGCGGGATTCTTGTATATAAGACCTCCAAGAAGTGACGCCAACAATGGAATTGAATTGCAGACAGAGATAGAGACGACAACTGAGTCAAGCGCGTGAATCGTTCGTTCGTTGTGAATTATAGCGTGACTGTGGAAATTAAGTGTATTGCAAAGTTGTATTGGGAAAGAATAAACTAGTTTTATTTAAGAAAGGACTTGTATCGCTAAAGTTTCTTCGGAAAGAGTTTTTACGGAAAATTAACTAATGACCAGAGATGTAACAATACATTACTGTGTGGCGTAACCAAAACCAGAACCATTAAGTTGTGTGTGTTGAGTTAGAAAACACGTTACGTTTGGCTGGTATTAGTTATTAGGATAGTACTAATATATTACTGTTTATGTGATCAGGTAACTGGATTGTAATTTTAATTGCACATGTGTATGTTTTTAACAACTTGTTTAACTATATTGTTATGAAATTCGAAGATGGGCCAGTGCATTTGACGCATTCTTTTAGCTGTTACTACTACCAGGAATAATAATATGCATAATACAACATGTGAAAAATTATTGGACCGCTGTTACTTTTTAGTTGCACTGTTTTACTTTTACTGATATTGCTCAGGCTGGTCTTTTACTTTAGTTTTAATGCCCAGAGTAAGTATACATATAATTATATTTATAATACTGATTCTATCAATCTATATTGTCATTAGTGAAACGAACATTGTGTAAATAATAAGTTCTAAACATTAAAAGTAAAGTGTAGCATAAAATTATATAATCAAAACACTAACACTGGTAACAGTGCCAGTGATTTTAGTATATAGTTTTTATTCTTAAAATTAAATTAAAATGAAAGGTTTTTGATGTGGCAAGTTAGTGTACCTAGGATAAATATATCACGTAACTAAATCCTCAAAATAGAAAAAAAGTTATTTCTAATTGACATTATTATTGTTAAGGAGCAAAGTGACTACATACATGACATAGTACAAACTATGTCACATAGTATGTCACTATGTGGCCTGTTTTTGCCAGTTAATATTAATTATTATGATGACTTCTGATCATCAGACATCTAAGTCATAAAAATATAGCATTTTGCATGCATGTTTATGCATATTGATATTATTATTATTATTACGTAAAAATTATCGAAGCAGCTACTGATAAAATTTTCCATGTACACCTGCCATTTTCCAGATAAATCATTTAATAATTTATAATGAAGGCTTTTGTTTTTTGTGTCAATAATATAGGAGACTGATGTAAATGCCAGCTCTGTTACTGAGAATGAGATGTGTTGAGTTGATCTTTATTCAGTAAAAGCATGAACCATGTCAACTTGTTCAAATTATTATAAAACTTAATAATTTTAATGGTGATGTAATCTGGAATTACATTTTCAAAACTTATACATTGTGATTAATGTACCACATATTTTATTGGCTTTAAACTTCAGAATCAGAGTTTTAAGTTTTTTACAAAACTTTTAGGTTTAAAAATAATAATGATAATGAAAAGTTTTTATTGTTGATTATGAAAGGCCAAAGCAAGAGAGTTTATTAAACTTGATAAGTTTGATTAAAATTTTAAGGTAGTATTTAATTTTCTAGTAATGTTTTTTTATATTTCATAATTAGTTAATTATAGATTTCAGAGCAGAGGTATGTGAAAATAACATTTCACTTTTAAGTTCTATCTTTTTACCTGTGTAACAGTATTTGTTTTGCACTAGTACTTATTAGCCAGATTGAACCTACTGTTAAAGCAACAAAAAAGCTATCTCTTATTGGATTCTTGAACAAAATGACAGTATTCTTTTTTTTTTTATACTTCATGTACTTAGTTACTTATCCAGTAACTATTGTTATAGCTCTGGATATAGGCACTCAACAGATTGACAGTGATGACACTGCCAAAGAGTTAAGCTTTTCTAAAACCACACTCAGATTCTTCTCCCTTTGTGCACCAGCAGTATTTTCAGTTGAAAAATAAGTTATTTCTTATAGGTTTTTGTGTTCTAAATAAATAACACTTATTATTTAAGAACATTTTTAAAGCTACTAATACTAACAGAGTATAAATTTGCTCTCTATTCTTAGTAGGGTTACACAGTTTTTATGCTAAAAGTATACAAAAAACATAATTCATACAAAATGTTTTTATAAAATTATAAAAAAAAAGAAAATAATGTTTCAGAAGCTTAAATACTAAAATAGGATTAACAAACAAGTAAGTTAATAGTTTGTGTTTAAAATCTATTAAACATATAATTGTATGGTATTTTCAGTTAAAAGCCAATTTTCCAACAAATATGGGATAGAATTATCCACAAAAACAGCAGAATCTGATCAAGAAAATTATGAGACTTGTTGTGATTAAAGGTATTTGAGCTGAGTGTTCATTCTGTATGAATATAAGAAGGTTAGATAAACTATTCACACAAAAAAACAGAAAACAACTCAAAATATGTACCTACATGTGACATCAGATAGTCCTCACTTCATGTATGTTATGCAATGGTTAGTCTTGAAGTCTTACTTTTTGTAGTATAAATTATTTCAATACTAAATGCTGAATTAATTTTAAAGGAACTTCGAGCTTTAAAAACTAGGAGTGAACTGATACAGTGAAAGTGCTTGGATTCTCCTCATCAATTTGTTTTCTTTGTCTAGCAGATGACATCATCTCATGATCTCTGTTCCCTGACAGCATTAGTCAGCTATCAGATTCACTTGATGTCATACTTCAGCCAGCAAAGGATATTCCACTTCTAACTGGTTTAACCCAGGTTTAAAATAAAATGAAATACCCTTGTGGACAGAAGACTTGGTATGCCTTCATACAACATCCTACCTATCTTTCTATCTCAGGCCTATTCTGAAGCTGACAGTTAAAATTAACTTTTAAAGTCCAGTTAGTTTAAAATCTGTGATATGATCTAGAAGTGTGTTAAGCTTACCTCATTCCTAAAAATGCTTACACGCTACTATAATTGTAGTTATTATTACTACAATTTCCAAGCATTTTAATATTAAATCACACTAAATAAAACTTACATTAAAACACTTTTGTTTTTCTTTGTATTAAATGATTTGTCTTACTTACTTACATTTTCCTCTATAATTCACTTTTGTCACAAGGCAGTAATAAAATAAAACAATAATTAAATCATTGAGAACACAAAAAGTACAGAATGGCAAAGATGAATCTACAAAATCACCAAAATTACACAAAAGCACAACAACCAAGTTACAAAATCAAAAGGAAATGTGGATACACGCTTATAATGAACGGAAAGATAAAAATCCAAAGAAGAAGAAAGAAAGAAAGTAAAACTGATTCACTCTCCACTTTAAAGCCTAGCAAATGAAATATAATAAAACTAAGAAACTTAAAGTCTTTGTATAAAATTCTAAATTAAGTCCAAGCACATAAGAAAGTGGTAACTAAATTCAAACTACAACATCAAAGAAAAATTAATTTTAAGTGCAACAAAAACTAACCAAACTAAATTTTTTATCAGCAAAATGAATGTAATAGAAAAACAATAAAAAAGGATGAATGAACTGGATACTTTAAAATTTAAAATTCACCATCAAAAAAGATTTACATTGAATGTTCTCAAAACAGACACTGAATGAATACAAAAATAAGACCAAAATATTTATGTCACAAACTAAATGATAAATTAACAAAAAAATTGCATTGATTCCAACTTCTTTCCAAGAGTAACACAACAGCTTTTTGAATGTAGCTCTTACCAGAAGATGGCTTGATCTTATGGGTCAAAACATTGTAGTTATTAAAATAAGAACTATTCTACTATACAATTTGCTGTTCTTGTATGTTTTAATTAATTATTCAGTTCATTAGGTTCCTCACTAAACAAATATTTCTCAAGAGTTTCAAGCTGTTACTCCCACCCACTGTAATCCTGCCAACAGACTCTTGAGGGCTGTGGTGGTTTTGCAGCTGTGGTGGTTTATGACTTCTTAAGGTCCTCCTGAGTCTTTTTCAGGGTTCTCTAGGTGTCATCTAACCTAACCCACAGGCACAATTCCTCCATTTTGTATAATTTCGGATGAGCAGTCTGCATCAGTCTGTCCCAAGTTTTAATGCCATTTCAGCACTGGGATCTATTGTAATGTTAGGCAGATCACTTTCGGCAGTTTTCAGGGAATTACACTTGACCATGCAGGGAAGGATCTTCCCATCTCTTTATTGGTGGTTTTTTACTACTGCAGAAAATATCCATCCAGGGCATTTGGTGTGTATGGGTTTTTCCTTTTGACATTGACACTCCTTCATTGACTGCTGGCATGATAACCTTCTTGCTTGCATGTGCTGTGGATCTTATTCCACCTTAACCTCCTCCAGGTTTGTGTGCCCCTCAAGATGCACTTAGCTTTGGGATAATTTGATTAGTTTAGGATGTGGTGCTCCCTTCAGAGGTGTGAACATATTTGGCAATGTCACTAGTCACATTTGCACCTCAGTTCTTTTCTCTCTACTCTTGAACTGCAGTCAGTGAAGTCATTAAAGGCTGGTTGTAGGCCTCCTCTATCATGGTTGATTTCCTGACTACTGCCAATGGCCTCACCATAGGCTGGACTGGTTGTACAGTCTGCTGATTCTCCACAGTTGACAATGAGCTTACCTTTGTTTGGAATTGTAGGGCCAATCTGACTACTGATGTGGTGAGCACTTGCAAGTCCAATAAGAACAACTCATCTTCATCCACGGGCTTGGGCATGGTGCACAACAGGTAGGGTACTGTGTCTTTAGCTTCTGCAACTTCTTCATTCTTGTCACATGAGAAGAAATCTTAGATCTCCCTAAGAAGCTTAGCGAATTCACACAGGGATGACTTAGTATGGTCCAAGTTGAGTGCAAAAGGTCAGAATTGCCTGGTTTAGACCTGTAATGTGGTTAATTTAAAGAATAAAAAAATTGACTAGTGCCAAAGATTGACTTTAAATACCCAAAAGCCAGTGTTCAAATGTAAGGTTGACTGAGTTCTAATTGGTCAAAAGTTTAGATGAGTGTGTACAATTAAAAAGGCTTGTAATATTTAGTTACAATCTTGAAGGAAGTACCAGTCAAATGATATGTCTACAGAGTTAAAGTACTTATGCCCATACAACATGTGTTAGAGGAATCAGAGAACTTCCTTGAGTTCTCAAATGACCAACCATTTCTGGCTGTATTGCTCCTACCTGACATACTTTCCAACACCACCACTTTCATGATCTACCATCCAGTTGACATATGGACAGTGCCCAGGTCCAGTAGAAAGGAATGGAAGACAAGGCTATATGGTTCCTTCATGGTCAACTTTACTTGGATAAGCTGCATTGATCTCACCTTTGACCATTAACCTTTGCCAACATTTCCATTGTTTTCTTTAAGGACTCTCTTCCATTTACAAAGTATGTAATAGTTATGGTGTGAATTACAAAACTTTATCCAATGGGTGACCCCTTTAGCCTTCTCTTATTAGCTTATAGTCAGCATTCTTATGCCTCAAAACTGGAGCTCAAGGAGTATCAGCTTCAGTATCCACCCATCATCAGAGTCATCCATTTTAGGGTCTATGACTGGGGCTGATACAATAGCATTTTTAACTACTACGTGGTATCCAGGATGGGGGATTCCATGAAAGAGTAGTGTCTCACCATGCACCAGTAAAATCCACCTAAATTTCTATGTTATGAGCCCGGGCGATGAACTAGGACAGTCATACTTATGCATTGTTATCTAAAGTACAGCCATCATCTGTATTTTTAAAATTAATTTATTACTTCAGTGAAACATGATCCTTTCAGATGGTGAATATCCTTTCATACAAATAGTGGAAGTGCTTTACAAAAACAACCATAGCAAGCAGCTGTTTCTTCTTTGTGCAGAATTTGCATTAAAGAGCTGTCAATATACAACTGGCATTCATGATTACAGGTTCCACTCTATCTTGCATCTGTGATAACACTGTTCTGTCTCCTCTGTCACTAATATCTATGTTGAGGAGAAACTCAAGGATATACCAGCATTTGAGCATTCACTAAAGCAAGTTTTAGGGACTGGAATGCTTGGTTGCACTCCTCATTTCAATCAACATGCATGCATCTCCACTTCTGTAAGAGCAGACAATGGTGCTGCCATCTTTGAAAAATGGGCCATGTATAATAAGTTTTTGAATATCTGATATTAGCATCTAATTTTACACAGTACTTTTTTTTTGGGGGGGGGGGGGTGCATCACAAACACATGATTACAGAATAGTTGTACACGTGAGCAAAATGTGTGCTGAAGGGATTGGTTGGAACCTGAAGATTTTACTGTAGAGTCTACAGAAACAGATATTATCATGAACATAACCTCATGTTTTGGTTTAAAGCCAGGTCTGTCTTGAATGCTGTATTAATGCATATTTAAAAAACAAGCTTTTTAAATTAAAAACATTAAAACAAGCTTTGGTTCAGTTACTCCTTACTAATCTCTTTTCTGGCTTGTTTGTTTGTATGTTTGTAATTAAGTACAAAGCTACACAATGGGCTATCTGTGCTCTGCCCACCACGGGTATCAAAATCCGGATTCTAGTGTTGTAAGTCCACAGACATACTGCTGTGCTACTGGGGGGCTCTTTTCTGGCATTGTCATTAGGTGCCCAAACCAGGTCAGCTATTTCCTCTGCATTAAACAACTTATGAGGACTTACTAGCTGTGTCTTATGCCATATTTCATTGTTTCTAATTTTGTACTGCCACTTCGTTTGTAATATGCAACTTAAGCATCTTGAATCAAACGTATCCAACTTTGTTTCAAATGTATGTTGTTGACGAAATCTCCCCTGCATTTACAGAAGCATAGAAATAACAATGCTATTGTAAACTTTTAGTTTTATCCATAGTGCAGTTTTCTAACTGTCTCATACTTTACTTAATCTGCCCAGATTTGCTGCATCTTTCCCAAGTTTTATATTCAGTTCTTTTCGGTGTATTCTTCTTATGTGTATGTCTCTTTATTTTAGCTTGGTTTTCAGTATTGATACTTACAATTCATTATTACTTCTTATTTTAATTGCATATTTCTTTTGTTTTTTATACATGGATCAGATCTGATATCTTCAGATGGTAATGCCACAGTATCTGAAAAGCTATTTTATACCACTGACATTCCAAATCTGGCATTCTCATCAACCAATCTATGGCCAGCCCAAAAAAGCAGAGGAGAGAATGTGAATCTGTGTCATGCTGTTATCAAAACCTTGAGCAACCCACTGATATTATCTAACCCCTTAACACAGCACTCAGAGTATTGAAACAAATGTTTTGTCACTAATATGTTTTCTAGGGATTCCGTAGCCATCTGTGTTCTTCTAGAGGCGCTCTGTCCAGATTGTCAAATGCTTTCTCAAGATCTTAGAAATGCATTATAATTGCATCTAATCTAGTCTTCCAATGCTTTCTCCAATATTTTTATATAAAAAATTGGTCTATACATGATCTGCATTCCTTGAATTTTGCTTGTTTTTCTCTGATTTGCTTATAAGTAATGTTATGACAGCGGAAGTCACATGACGCTGGGAGCATGCGCGCTGGAGTTTCTAGAAGGATCTTGAAGGCCAGAGTGCATTCATGATGCCCTATTTTTAATATATAAGCCTAGCGAATAAAACCAGCACGATGGGAAGATAGATTGAAGAGATATGCAGATAGATTGAAGAGATAGATAATTGAGTCAAGCAGTTACAGTAGGTTTCCTTTTTTTGGGGGTTATATGATTTATATATTTTTTCCACTCCTGGTTTGCATTACTATTTTCCCAAACATCATTGCATATGTTTAATTCATTCCAATGTTTCTTTCAAACATGATTTGAGTAACTTGCCATAAATTTTGTTCATTCCTGGTAATTTTTCAATTTTTAGCCCTTTGATAACTATTATAGTCTTTTATTATGAATGATTCATTATTCATTTCTAACTTAGTGTTATCGTTATTATCTTCAAAGCTAACTGACATTGAGATTGGTTTAGGCTGGTTAAGTCCACCTACCTATTCCATTTGTCTTCTCAATAACCAAGAGTTGGTGTCCATACCAATCCCAGACAAGCCATGATTGATAACCTTGGTCGCTAACCAATATCTTCACAATTTTCCATACTGTTATTCTGTTCCTTTATTGTAGCAGCTTCTACTTTAATAGCTTTTGTCTTGCAGTGTTATTCACTTTTCTGTCAGTAGTGTTGTATTATTTTACTTTATATTTTTTAAGTTCTTTCCTGTATATATCATCTGATTTTTTGTTTCTTTTTTCATTATTGAATTAGCTTTCAAGTATTATTATTACTCCATTTTACTTCTTTCTGGCATAGCCAAGAATGTTCTTGCTAATGTTACAAAGTTTTTTGTACATATCCATTCCAGTTTGTTGCTATGTTTGCAGTATATTTCAAAACCTGAAATCTGTTATTTGTTTACAGAGTAAAGTTGGTAGCTGTTTCTTTGCTAATATTAAATTGTAAATTTCTTTCACTCATTTCAATTTATCTTTATTTTTGCAAATACAAGGTACTGATTACTTCTTACGTCTTGCAAAAATCTCATCCATCATCCACTGATGGCTAAATGATTTGATTTTTCTACTGAAATCAGATGACATCAATATTACTTTATGAAGAACTTTGTACATAAACTTCAGTCTGCTAGTGGCCAAATTATTGAACTCACAAAATTATATTAACTGTTCTCCATCAACCTATTGTCTCTCCCCACCTCGTCTATGGTACATTCCCAGACCATTGATCTTTTCCCCTTTTTTTTATTTAAATCATGATTCAACAGAATTATAGCATGTTCAAGTATCCTATTCTGGATATCTTTTTATTTGTTATAGAAGATATCTGTGACTGGATCTTCTGAATTTTCCACAGGACCATAACACTATATTACAATAACTTTATTATGTTGTGTAATAAATATTGCTGTAATAATCCTTTCATTTATGGGATGTCATTCTATAAGAGTTTGCTTGATTTGTTGCTTTGACATAAATATTGCAAGTCCCAGGTGGTATATGTTATTATTTAACAAAACATGTAATATAATTATCCCTCTGGCTGTGGTCTTATTGATGCTAGCCCATTTTGCTTCTTACACATTTAAAATTACCAGCTTGTACCTCTTAATCTTTTTTTATTACCTGCATGTACTTGGATGCCTCAGAAAATGTCTTAACATTCCAATATCCAATTCATGAGATCTGTCTTGCAGTGAGGAGCATTTTCCAATTCACAGCATCCTTGTTGATTTAGCTGAGAAGCATTGTATACTGTAAGGCTTGTACGACACTTCCTCCCTGACACAGTATATATACTGTAAGTTTATTTTTGTTTCTTTCCTCGTTTGTCCAGGCTTGGTCAGGTCTGACATTACACACATGTAGGTAGGTGCATGATGGCTTAATTTATTTAAAGTATGTTATTGCATTTCTTTTTTTTAACATGTGCTGGAGATAGTGTCTCTCTAATGGATGTCATATTTTGAAGGTAAAATATTTTCCTGTTATCTTTTGTGTGTGTAACCCAGATCAAATCATGTACATTACAGCGTATCAAGTAAACAAAGTTTAACAAAACATTTATATTTATAGATTTATATTTCTTTACAGATTGAACAAGCTCATCAGATGTTTTAAAGTGTTGCAGTGAAGGAGTTATCCCATGAAATACTGAAGAAAGGAAAATATTTTTCTAAAAGTTAATGTTAGAACATTTAAATTTGTTTGGAAAAATCATTGATGTTCTGATTTTAACTGTATATCTTAAGGTAGCCATGGCATTTGTAAACTATGAAGGCCCGTCTTTAAAATTATGCTCTAAACAAGAAGATAATGAAAAAAGGTATTTAGATTTTTTAGTTAGAGATTGTAAATGTCAACCCAGGGATCAATTTAAATATGTTGACTAAGCTTTTATCTGAAGCATCACAAGAATTGCTTGACTTGTATGGAAGAAGCAAACAGTCTGTCAAAACTTTTCTGAATAATCATCCTGATTACTTTCTTTGTAAGAATAAAAAAGTTTTTAGTGTGAGATCACAAAACCTCTTTTTATATGAGTTGGACAGAAAAAAGAATAATCCAGCATCACCAAATTTACTTCGTACAACAATTGTGAATGATGAAATTCATGTTGAAAAAGAATTGTATAATTTGTTTGAAGTTCATGGTGTTATTAGTATCCTATTTCCCACCTTTGGTTTCATAAGAGCTGAATTTTCAAATACAGTCTTTGTGTATTTTGATGGAGCATCTTTTGAAGGTGGAAAACAACGGAGGTTAACTGACGTGAAACTTAAAATTGGCCAGAAAGTATACTTCAGTGCTAAGAGAAGAAATGCTAAAGTAGGAGCTGAATATCGAGCTGTTCTTGTTTGGAGACCTGAAAATTTTGAGTATTTTAGAAATAGAGAGAAACCTGCTATGTATATCTGTGAAGAATTTAATTCAGATTTATTAAACCAGTGGAATGAAGGTTCTTCAGAGTCACCAGTGCAAACTAACTTTACCTGTGTTTATGGAGCAAAAGGATCTGTACAAAAAGTGTTTGATGATTTTGGTTTTATTAAATGGCATAATGAAGAACTTGTATTCTTTGATATGAACTGTCTACAAACAAATGAAATACCTGTTTTCAACACTAAAAATTTGCTGAAACCTGGCCAGGAAGTGGTGTTTGATGCTAAGGCAACAGAAAACCAAAGAGCAAAATGGGAAGCCACAACTGTTTGGTTAGATGTATCAGATTTCACAAGTCAGAACAGTCTTGTAGATCCTGAGAGTGATGAAATATATGTGTCTGATAATACAGATTCCAGTAGTAATGATAACTCCTGTGAAGTAGATTTTTCAGATTCTCTTTCAATAATAGAAACACAAAAAGAAGAAAAAGATATACATGACAAATGTAGCTCTTGGAAAAACTGGGAGACATTAGAAAATCAGACAGGAAAAATACATCCTAAACTAGAAACAGAAGGTATTATAATTTTTGGGAAATACATGACAGAAGAAACAATAGCTCTTGTTGAAGTAGTGTATATTAAAGGTTCCCAAGCTCAAAATTTGATAAGAGATGTTCAAGATGGTACAATAGTTCATTTTGATGCAATAAAAGATAAAGTATGTGGAGGTACTTGGAAAGCAAGCTTGGTCTGGATTGGAAAGAAACCAAAACTGAATATTCCAAATCCATTAAAAGACAAAACTGCATTGAAAAAACTAGAAGAAAAGTACTTATCAAGAGAGATTAAAAGTTGTTCTCTAACTCCAGACATTAGTGAAGTGCTGAGAATAAAACAAATAGTTTCTTTAATGTCAACCACTGCCACGATAGCAGATGTTGAAAACAAGAAAACGGATGTTTCAAATGGTCATGAGCTTGATAAAAAAAGTATATGCACTGAGGTTGGTGAAAACATGTATTCTGATGAAACTTGTTCATTTCAGAACTGCACTCCAAAAGTGGAAATTTCACAAAATTACACTTACGATAATCCAGCAGTCAAAACTAAAGTTGAAGAAACATATTTTAAATCAAGACCATTTAAAAATGATTTTCAGTCTAAGGGAGTACAATTTTCTGGAGAACATACCTATAACAATTTATTTGATAATGATGACCATTATACTGGAAGTCAGTGTGTTTCTGAAGTTAAAACATTTACCCAGTGTAACAAGTTTTCCAGTGAAAGTTTAAAAGAAGATATTGGCCTGACTTTGAAAATGCCCTCCATAGGTGTTATCAAGTACAGTATGATAATTGAAGACAAGCATACTATGAATTTTTCAAAACCAAAACTAATGCAATATTTTAATCTTACTGGGACTGTGAAGCTAATCTTTGATTATTTTGCAAATGTTTACATTGCTCAAATTGAAAGATGTCTTCCAGTGTTTTGGACAGATTTGTACGTCAACAGAGAACGAGCTAGTGAACTCTACATTTCTTTGAAAGATATCTTGAATTTTGATGATCCAGTTTATTTTAACTATATAGAGGTGTTATCAAACTGTATAAAGTGGGGAAGAATAACTTTAGCATGGATAGGAAAGAAACCACAAAATGTTGATAAGCTAAATGAAGAAGAAGTCTTGAATGAATTTGACTTGGAGATGGATTCATTAAGTGACATTAATAATATTAAAGACTTGTCTGAACAAACTGAAAATAATACATTGCATGATAAGACAGTTAAAGGAATGCCAGTGATAGACACTTGTACCACACTGTCAAAGTCACTTTCTCGAGAAATTAGTTCACCAAGAAGTACCAATGTAGACATGAACATTATGTCAAACAAAAAAATAAGTTGTAATTCTCTATCATATAAAACAGCTTCAGAATCTAGGAGAATAATAAATTCTGGAAATTGTTTTCATCAAAACAATGTATCAGATTTCGATATTGAAGTGTCACTAACACCTGGAACAAAAAGTAATAGTGACTTAACAGCATTGAATACATCTGATTCAGGCAACGATACTAAATATGCAATTAAAACACCAAGAACAGAGAATTTGTCAGACAGTGTTAAATATATTGAAGTACCAGAGACAGTCAGTCAACTTGATTTTGGAAGTAATTCTTCAACACTTCATACACTTGAAAAAGTAAATCTAGATAATGTTAAAACTGATTTACCACTATCATCAGTAGTAAGCACCAATTATATGTTATCAGTGGAACCTACCAAAAAAATAATTCATTCCACAGATAGTTTGGCAGTTACAAACTGTTTGCCAGTTAGAGATTCATTGAATGGAGTACCAAACACTAAAAATGATTCATCAGGAAAAAACATGTTAAAAAATGAATTCTCAAAAATGTTTAATAACACAACTGATTTTATCACTAGAGATTCTTTTGAAGAAATTATGAAAACTACAACATGCTCATCAACAAAAGAGCCATTAGAACAAGTAACAAACACTACAACTAGTTTAAAAGTTGGGAAATCATCAGAAATGTTGAACAACACAACTAGTTTACCATCTAGAGATGTGGCAAAAGAAATGAGGAAATCTACAACTTCCTCATCAGCAAATGTCTCATTACAACAAGGGACAAACAATACTGCTAGTTTTCTGTCTAAAGATCTTCTAGAAAAAGTGAGGAAACCCACAACTTCTTCACCTCCAAGTGACTCATTAGACCAAGGGACAAACACCATAACTAGTGTACCAGTTAGAAACTCATCAGAAGTGAGGAAAGCCACAAGTAATTCACTGACAAACAAGATTTTAGGAGAATGCAAACTTATGAACACCAAATTTGGATTACTGTCTGCTAAATTGTCAGAAAATAAAATTGACATCACAACTGAATTACCAAAAGTTAATCTTTCCAAAGAGAGAAGTAAAACATTACTGCTGATTTTATCAAAGTTAGATGAGACACATGAACAAGTTACATCACAAGACTCTTTGCTTAAGATAGCTGTAGAATTAGGCTCATCTTCTGATCATCCATGGTTTTCACAAAAGGATAAGGATAACTTTAGTGTAAGTCAAGAAAATTTACTGGTACATCAAGATTTAAAGATTCTTTCTGAGATTTTGTTTCACAGGAAACTCAGTATAACTAAGCTAGACTTAGAAAGGTATTGTTCATAATTTTAATCCAGGGACAGTTATTGTTTCATTTGTTACTGTATTTATGACATTTAAGCATTGGAAAGCACATATTTGTTACACTGTTGATTCATAATTTACTTATCTGAAAGATAATAATTTCATAATAATTCATGTGTTTCTTAGGTATTCCAAAATTAAGATATTTTTTGTGTAAAGAGGCAATCTCAGCTAAGTCCTTTACAGTATTACACATGGATAAGCTTCACACACTTCTCTTTTCAGATCCTATTCATCTCTTAGCACCACAGTTGTATTATAGATCTCAACTTGTTCATAACATGAAAGTCACAAAGTCAAATGTTTTGTTTCTATTTTTGTTTGTGTGGTTACAGTAAGTCTCCGGGCAACACAAGGAAGACCATTTACCATACTGCAGTTTTTAGAAAGATTTTGAAGTGTTAAGTTTTACCTACTGAGTTTTCCCAAGTTTTTTTATGGTTTGTATGTCAGTATGACGTGCAACAAGTCTATCTTGAAAAGTTATATGTCTGAAAATTATTACATTTATTCATTTCCATGGTTTTTAGATTATCATTCATACAAGTATGACTGACTATTTTGATAAGTCTTTTTGATCGATATATAAATACAGTAAACCATTTGCAAAAATCAAATCATTAAAATTTTCTTTGTATTTTTAATCCATGCAGGAAAAGTTGGATGAAAGAAGTGTGCTCTAATATATTTTCTACTTTTCAACATTTTTACAGTAAAAAAAAAAAGGAAAATTATTTTAGGTAATTTTCAATAAATATAGTAAAGTTGACTTTGGCATTTGAAGTTTACTGTTGTCACTTACCATAAACCACGATAGTAGCTCATAATAGGGATCCATTAGGAAATGTGCAAAACAACCTTTTAAAAATCAAGTATATTCTTAAAACAATGCTCAAAAGCTTTGTTACCACAGGGTATCTATTCGAAATACTTAAACATGCAGAAAAAACCAAAGGTCAGATTTTTATATGCATTCAAAAAATTGCCCATTTGTTCTTCTTCTTCTTATTATTATTATTGTTCCACCAGCATATAAAAAAAATGGAAACGAGTATTACAATCACTGCTGGGCAGGATTACTAAATGGAACTTTGTGTATTGTGTATGGTATTATTTAATTTATTTCTATATTTTACATAAACTAAAAAATCATAATTCTAGCATAAATGATGGTAGCATTAATGCCTTGAAGTTAGTTTTCCTACAAATATCTGGTGTTCCTTTAAGAAGCTTAAGTACAGGGTGAAACAGGAGTTATCAGCCGATAGAAGATGAACATTAGATGACTATATGTAGATGCTCGATGCTTTGTACACTATACAATCAATGTCTTTAAGAAGTCAACCCCTATATTATGTATGAAATGAAGGAGTGAAAAAGATATCTAACACACATAATATTAGATTTCATTTACACACATTCATTAAGTAATTACTTTAAAAGCCACCAAGATTTATTTATAGCGATGTTTTAGAATTATTTATTTGAAAGGCTTCTTTTCTACTGGTAAGATTTTATACGTGCTTAGTGGGGCTTTTGTCTTATTCTAGGTCAGGCCTCGAAAAATCCCAGGTGCCAAGTCACCATGGTGACTAAAAATGTCATCATGGCACCTAGTATTTTCTCCCATTTTATTTGTGCATTGGGATGTGCTAAATAGAACTCACAACTAGAACGGTTCTGGACTCTTGGAAGTCCATGTTCTTTGAGTTCAAAATTGAACTTTGTTTCTAGGATTTTAAAGTCAAATGTTTTGTTTCTATTTTTGTTTGTGTGGTTACAGTAAGTAAAATTGAACTTTGTTTCTAGGATTTTAATAGCAGATTCAGCACTTCTTCATGTATTTTTAGGAATGAACCGTTGCGGTTGCACAACACGTTACTAATTTCATGCCATTTTGTTTTTCTTCTTTCTCTCAATTCAACCAATCAGTGCATGTGTTTAGACTCAGAATGGACCAAGCAATACTAATACTATCAAATGATATCATGTGATCGTTAGCATGCACTTGTTGCCCTGAAAGTAAATAAATATAGCCCCCATTTCTCAGTACAAAGAGTAGTGAAGTTAGGTTAGACACACCAAAAGGCCTTTGCTTATCATTATACAGTGGTATAGTGATGAGTAGATTAGACCTATTATGAAACAACATGCTTGGCCTATCGATATTGCAGTGATTATTTTTATTTTACTTTCATTCATTGCAATAGTCCACCTAAGTTATAGTTATTTAGTATACTATTTTATTAATTACACATATTAAAGTTTAATATAATATACTGTAATATATGTTATATAATAAAGTTTAATAATGAACCTTTTGTTTTTTAGTGTAAAACTATGTCTTGTACCATAACCACACAACTGACTCAAAATATATTCCATAACTTTTTATATTAAACCTGGCACCTAGATCTGAAAATATTTGTTGAGTCCTGGTCTAGGCTTATATATGCCCATTGTAATGTATTATACATAGACAGTTTAGTTACACAAAAACTGTAAAGCTCACTATATTCTCAAACAAATCTCCATCACAATTTCCAGCTGCAGCTTAAATTCTTACATCTTGAACTAATGCGATCAGATAGTCAATACCTAGAGTAGATCATCATAGACTGTGTCAGCTAGTCTCCCACAACAAGGTAAGCATACAAGGCTAGAGATACTGTAGATATTATTTATTCAAGCCAGAAATCCCTATTTTGACTCCACCAAATGTAGTTCTAGCTAAGTGAAAATAGTTTAATTAAGTAATGTCTACAGTATCTCCAACATTGTATGCTTATAATGTTTGCTATCCCTACTTGCAGGTTTTTAAATTCCCAATTTGTTATTTAAACTGTCTCTCAAAGCTTAAGCTTGTTTGTGACTACATTTTCACTTTAAGCTAGCTATCTTGTTTCTGTATTTTTTTACAATCCCTATTCCTCCTTTTAAATTAACAATTTTTAATAAATCTTTGTTTGTTAAAACAATCTGCTTTTAGAGTGATTTACAAATGAAATTTGACATTTGCCTTATTTCAATAACTCATTCAAAAGTTCAATCAGTGGAGTAGCAGTGAGCTTGAGGAATTATGAAGATGAACTTCAGGGTTTAATGCTTGTAGTGAGCACACCACAGCTAGCCCATTGAGAAACTTTGTGCTGGAGCAAACAATTATTCAAAAATAACACTAGCATTCTTATTTATCACAAAGGAACATTTTTATAAAACCCCACTGCAGTAGGTCATACTTTTAGATGTATGATGTGGTAAACACAGTCCTTGTTTCCTGGATTAAAGTCCTCTTAGGTCATTGAATTGTGGCTGAAAATAGAAAGAGCTTTTTTCATTTCATTTGACATAAATATACTTCCTCATTGGGTACAGAAGATGCAGGCCATATGTTTTTAACTAGATTTTTACTTTTTTTTTTTTATCTGCAACCTTCATATTATGAACAAGCATAAAATTAGGATTATGAGAAAAGACATGAATACATTATTCAGTTTCCCTATAGTGGCCACTGCATTGTAAGGAAATTCTAATTTACTAAATACAATATTTTCATCTGATGACCTGATGAAAAATTATACCAAAATTATTATTAAAAAACAAAAAACTGTAAAAATATTTTTGGAGTAGAAAACAAATCTTGTAATTCATATATATTTGGTATTGAAACTTAAAACAAGTAGCTGATTTACATTACATGAATTGTAAATGGATATTAATTTATTAACTCTTTCATTGTTGTGAATATGTAAGAAACCATGCATGGGAAAAGTTTTCAAGAATGTGCAAAATATTCCTTATGTATCTCATGTCATTTATACATCTTTGTGTTGTTTCTTTTTTTATGAATATAAAAGTCATATTGAAATGGATACATTTTATTTTAGGTTATGCATAAAAAGTTACTAGTGTTTCTAAAACATGGTACAATGTTGTACAAACATTGAGCTCTGTTATAGTTGTTTAGCTGACTGACTATTTGTCAGATGCTCATAGACCTTTAATACTTCCTTATACCATATATGCTTACTTCGCTACTTACACAAGACATTAATTGACAAGGTAATTGTCTGTTGCAAAAGTTTTGGGCTGCAAGTCATTAATGCAACTGCCACATGTAAGAACTTCTTGTTACAAATTTAAAAGTCAAATGTTATAAACTGCAGTTAAGTGTACATAAATTTTTTCTACCCAGCTTTACTACTTGTTGGTCTGTTAATTTTGATAATTGAACCGGGAAAAGGCACGTAAATAACTTTCTTGAAATAATTCAGTAAAGTTCATTTTATATTTTGCAAATATTATCAAAAAAGCCAACATGATTGTTATAAATTAGGTTTAATATAACACTAGCTTTTACTTCTTAAAAATATTAAACTAGTTAAATTTTATATAGATACCAGAGGAAAAAATGTCCATATATCCAGAATGATGAGAAAAACAGTTTTATGTTTAAAAATTGACAGCATGTATATATGTTACTTTTTTTATGACACTAAAATCATTGATTAAAATAATTTACCTGGTATTATCAAGAAGTGCGAGAAAGTATTCTAATAAAATAAAAATTTTCCTTCTGGTACTCAGGCATATAAGAAGCAACACAGTTGTTAAAAAAAAAGTCATCACAGACATCTGGATTGATTTTGCACAAATAGACAGGTATCTTGTGGGAGTAAATATTTTGCAAAGATTTTCAGAGACTGCATATAATTATCAAACTTCCTAGTTCTAGTTCAAGCATCGGTTAAATCATTTCTAATAAACAAATTTGAATTCAAATATTATTTCATGGATTAATCTTTTTTTTCCCCCTTGATTTTTATATTTAGGATAACATTGTAGGTTTGCTAACGTCAAAAGTTGTGCAGAGGGTGATGGCCAAGTTGAAGCCCAGTGCTCAGCTGTCAAGATCTTCCACTTGTGATATTACAGAAAGAGAGACTTGCAATCAAGTAAAATATTTGGGAAAGTGTGATGTAGAAGTACAAACAGAAAAAAATAGTAACTTCTGTGATAAAGAGTGTCAATCAGAAGCAAGTGGAAATATATTTTTCTCAAGCATTTACATTGAATAATCAGTTTAAAAAAGTTGCACCAGACATTGAAATGTTTAGAATAAAATAAAGTAAAATTTTAATAATTATGATAAATTGTTTTTAATTTTATTAGTTGTATTTTAAAAATATAACTATAACATGTTATTACTTATATTGGAACTTCAGATGACTTGTAGAATGAAATAATTGACCTCTGATGTTCGATAAATTTGGTGCTACAAGTTTAGTTTAGTACATAAGGTCAACAACTAATTAATACATTTAAAAGAGGAGTGTTATATTTTTGGTTGTATATTGCCTTAAATTGGATTGTTAGAAACTCATTTTGAATTCATTACTTTTGCCATATTTGTGGAAAACGTTTCATTTTGATTTATTTCAGTTATGAGTTTTGAATATATATATATGTAATATGTATATATTGAGTGACATTGATTTTTAAGGAAAAATTGTTGTACATGCATCTTTTTTAGATAAAACAATTTTTATTACATAGATTATAAGAAATCATTAGATAGTTTGTAAAATTTTCTTAAATATACCCAAAAATATAAAAAAAAAAATTCATGTGTTTGTGACATGTATTGTTAATATAGGGACTGATTTACAGCAAATTAATGCTATCAGTTAGGATATCCATGAAACAAAAATAGTGAGTAGATAAGGAAAAAAAAAGACAGCAAAATTGGTATATTTAAAACTGTGTCTAACTATACAACGTTTCAAAAACCTTTATTTATGGGATAATACTAAACGATTTATTTAAGTACAATGCTTTGTCTCTTAACAGTGAGACATGATCATGTAGAATGTTCAACTCAAATTTTAAAAATATTAAACTATTGAATGTAGAGTACATCCCACACAAAAGAAAAATTCCAATATGGTACTTACCTCAGTGCTGTCCTCTATTATGTGAACTTTTTCTTTATGCATGCCACAAAAATTGCTATATTCCAACATGTCTCTCATGCAGTTCATCATGCATCACCTCTTAACCAATAGGAGCATGATATGCTCACATGATGCACGAGTGAGGGGATTAGCATGCCGTGCCCCCTGAAGACTTCTGATCAGTTTGCCCTTCTTTACAATCAGGTGGACTCTCCATTTTTATATCAGCAGTTGTTAGGTTCCTTGTTACCTATTAGGGGCTCCCAAATCAAATGTCAGTGTTACCCATGTCCATTATTCTCGCCTGTGTCTTACCCTTACCAACCTCTTATGGTATCTTTTTTCCATATACCTCCTATCTGAGGCTCTTCACAGAAAAAATAAGGTTCAAAATAAGGTTTTGTGGTCACCCATTGTACTGTCTCCGGTGGTGAAATTTCTTCGAACTCCCAATCACATTGTCACCCTCCTTTCTTTGAGTGGAGTATGGGAGTCCTTGCCACTGTCCATTTCCAAACTGCTGGGGTGGTTGGTCATTGAGGCACCCTGCTGAATGAGTTCCACATAATAACCATTCAGTTACAAGAGTACAGTGGTGGTGTTCTGCAGGTGTAGAATGATGTAATATCCTCCTATTTGTGATAACCAATACAAGGGAGTGAGACGTCAGAAAGCAGTTCACCCCTTCAATTGGGAGCCCCCATCCTATCCTAGCATGGATGACAGTACCCCATGAGGAGGTTTTGGATTAGAGTAAACCAGTCAACATAAGTCCTCACATGGGTCCAAGTTGTCTATCTTCCTCCCTTGATTTCCTCTGTCTGTGTTGTGGGTCACAGCGGTGGTATGTGGGATAGTTACGGTTCTGTCCTTGACTATTCCTTGTTCTCTTCTGATGGGGATGTTATTGCCATTGGATGGTCCCAGCCTGTACCACGGTTGGGGGTAGTTGATTCCATGCGACAGACATTCTTTTCAATACCGGATGTCAATTTCCCAGATCGATAGCTCAGAGCTAATCCTCGTGTCACCCGGGAATCCGTGTGGGTCTTATTTCCCGCTTCTTGGGTTTGAGGTGAAGATGGTATGATCCTCATCCTACCCTCATGCGGAACGTAGTTGACTTACTGAGCACAGTCCACTACACCATAGCCACTCTACACCCAGGGGTGCATCCTTGTTTACTCACTTTTCTCTTGTGGGATTGAGTTACAGTATCTTTCTCTGGTTAGGATCACTTTCCTACCACATTCTCTCCCACTCAGATGTGCTTCTCTCATTTTCTGCCCTCATAACTTACACATTCCACACATGGCTCAGAAGTGGTGCAGTTTTGGGGTGGTACTTCTATCGTGGGATTCTAGCTAATCTTATGAGAGGAGGTAAGTACCGTATCATAAGTTACAATTTTCCTATACTGAAAATGTATTTCCAATAGGTACTTATCTCCTCTCACACTTCCCACCCTTCCTTCCCACTTTGTTCTGGTGCTGATATCTTCTGCCAAACTTTGAAGTGATAGTTTGGTAGAGGAGTGTAGAGGGAGTTGCATGCATCACGTGAGCATATCATGCTCCTATTGGTTAGGAGGTGACATATGACGATTTGCATGAGACACATGTTGAAATATAGCAATTCCAGTAGAAGGGAGTGGAAGGCTTGTGGCATGCATAAATAAAAAGTTTGTGTATAGAGGGCAGCACTGAACAAGAATAGCTAATAATGCTTGGAGATGGCTTGAATGAGTAATGAAGAAAACTTTAATATAAGTTTAACAGTTGTTATTAAATTTCTTCATCTTGTGTTTATTTCACAACATTTTCTCATTATTTCCTGTTATCTTTTACCCTTACTCACTGCTTTCCGGTATTTTTGTCAAGTCACTTAAATTTTCCTCAACTTTTTTTTTGAAGAGTTTTCTCATGTGAGTTTGTTTGTTGTTAAGGCTAGAACAAAGCTATTCAGCAGGATGTCTGTAGTGTGCCTAGGATGAGTATCAAAACATAGTTTTTAGCATTATAATCCTACAGACTTATGATTATACCTTTGTACCAACACTAGCACACCCGGGAATAGACATCTAGGCAGCAGTAGGAAGGAAGGTTCCCAGCCAGAGGGGTGAATTGCATAATGTGGATTCATCCAGTCCAGAACCAATCAGCATATAGAGTTGTACGTCAGGTCCATGGTAGGAGGAGAGTGCACCCTATTCTCAACTGAGTAAGATGGATCCCACCAAGGAAGAAGCCTCCCTGGTCTACCACCTCAGTGGCAAGGACTCCTGTACTTCACTGGAAGAAGTGGTGGGAAGAGCATTGGAGAGTCAGGAAGAAAACAACAATGGAGAAAGTGTATTGGGTGACCACAGAACCCTATTTTTAAAAGCAGTCTAATCCTGAAGGATCTAGCCAGCAATCCCTGCCCCACTTTATTCATGTTAGTCCATAAGTGTACAGTCCAGGATGGGCATAATTATGACAGTACACCTCAAGGATGAACCTACAAGTGGTCTTGTAGAACACTCCATCTCAACAATGAGCATTATAGACCTTAAAGACCATACACTGCAGATTTAAGTATTAGTATATCTGGACAGGTACCACTTGCCACAGAGCAGGATCCAACAAGGAGCAAACAGAGGTCACTGCAAAGGAAAAATATAAGAAAAGGAAAACTTACTTACTCATAGCTGAACCAAGGATTGCAAGACAGCAACAGGAGGCAAACGAAATATGGTGTACGAGGAGACAGCCAGACGAGGAAGATAATGTGAAGACTAATCCACATGCTGGCCCGGGTGATCTCATCCAATGGATGATGAAAACCAGCAGCCAGTGACATACTGAGATGGCATATCTGGTGAAAGGAAACACAAAAAAGGCATGGGTCATCAGAGGAAAAGGAAGAATGAGTTGGCAAATCCAACCAGTAATGGAAATTGGGGGAAAGGTCTCTGGATAAGAAAGGATTTCAGTGGAGAAAAAGATGGGAATGAGAACTGTGGAGAGAAGCTGTGTGTGCCACATAACACCAGAGAGCCCAGACCAGACACAGGAAGTGATCCAGATCAGAATGGGAGTACAAGTGTTAAATAGAAGGTAGGGAAAAAGGAGTGAAATTACCCTCCCATGCAGCAGAGCTCTTGGGAAGGAATGAGTGATCTGGATAAAGGATGACATAAGTACTATGATAGAGACATCAAGGGCAAACACATCTGATGCCCGCAGGATAAGAGGGGGGGGGGATAGGTTTTTCAAGGAAAGGTGTTAAAGGGAAGAAGAAGAAAAAGGCTTGAATTGAAGAAGAGTAAGGGCATTAAGATTCCAATCCGGCAAGGGTGTGGTTTGGGGAGGACAAAGGAGCGAAACAAAAGGGAGAGAACTGGAGACAAAAAAGACATGACTCCTTGCTGCATAATGTAAGAGACCACGGTCAAGTGTTGGTGTGGATCATAACCAATTTGCACTTAGGACTGGAAGGAAATGATCCAGTGCCCAATGGACAGCCAGGAGTTCTAGAAGATTGATATGGAAACCTGACTCAACTGGTGACCAACAGCCCAAGATTTCTCACCTGTCTAAATATGCCCTAAATCCATCAGAGAGTCATCTGCAAAAAGAGAAAAGAGGCAAATCTGGTCTAGTAGCAGGAAGAGGAATCTCAGCTGTGGTGTTGTCTCTGTCCAACCACCAGGCAAAATACACTTGAAGGGACAGAGGAAGGGAGATAGAAGAATCCAGGAGAACCTTGGTGAGGTCCCACTCATTGTGTAAAACTCTCTGAAGAGCTCTCACGTGAGCACAACTGAGGGGAATAAAGGCCTCCAGAGAAGCACAAGTTCCCGAGAGATATAGAACTTCTCGTGTGGGTAGAGAAGGAGAGGATTGAGCCTTCTGAACCAAGAGCTCCACAGAACTCAGTTGAAGGAGATTGCTGGAACCCAATTGAGATGGGAGTTTAAAAACACCCCAAGATGGGTTGGGGTAAGAATGGAATTTTCCATCATGACCAGCCAACTCATACAAGCAGCTTCTCCAAGAAGAAACTGAGTGTGGATGAAAGAAGCTGGAAGAGTGGAAGCCAAAAAGAGCCAGTCATCCATATAATGATGGAAATGTAGCCCTTAAAAGTGGAACAGACAGGCTAAAGCTTTAACCACCCAATAAAAAATGTAGGGAGCTGAGGCCAGACCAAACAAAAGGGCCCTGAATTGGTGACACCATCCTTGTGGACAAACCAAATGTACCAATGGGATGCAGGGGAAATGAGGGATATGATGGGATGCATCTGATACATCAAACTCCGTCATCCAAAGACCTGGAGTGAAAGCCTTCAAAGTAAACTGAGGAATGTCTATGTTGTGGTTCAGATGGGAAAGTCTATGACTGGACACCAGTTCTTGGTCTTCTTGGGAACAACGAATAACCGGGAATAGAACCTCTGAAGGAATTGAAAAATGTGTTCTATATCACCCTTGAGATGAAGGTCCTGAGTTACCTCAGAAAGTCACTGGCTGGAAATGGGATCCTGAGGAGGAGGGAAGGGAACAGGAAAGGGTGATAAAGGAAGAGGGGTGAGAAAACAGAGAGAGTCTTCTGACAAGACCCAAAGAACCCAAGGATCTGTGGTAAAGGACTGTCAGAGAGGGACGAAATAGAACAGACTTGCCCCAACTGGACCTGAACCTTCTCGGTAGTCACTGAAACTATTGGCAGCGTGTGGACTGTCAATGCATAATATGATGACTCATTGCCAAAACACGAAAAGTTTGTGGGGGGTCATTTGACACAGGGAAAAAAGAAACATAACATACCTGTGTCACCAAGACCAGAAAAGTAGATGAGAGTTGAGGTGCATCTACAGGTGTCAACTGACACTGCAAAGTAAAGGAAGGTGGAGGAAGACTTTAGATCTTTGTCATTCTGCCCAGCCTTCCCTGGGCAGGAAAGACTGGTTGAAGTTCAGGAGTACTCATAAGACCACACGAAAGATTCCAACTCCCAGTGGACGAGGGCTGAAACCTCCTCAGCTGATAATGTTGAGCCAGAAGCCACAGTAACCTGTGGATGGTCCGTGGCATATTGCATGTTTAAAGATAATATCATACCTAAATATCATATTTTCTTTTTTTCACCATAGTAACTAAAACATAAAATATATTTTTGAATTACAGAAGAAAAATTATTCATCAAAACTTCATGGCAAACAACAAATACTAAAATTTTATTGAAAAATAAAGATACATAATGGTATACAAGTTGCTTTAGTGACAAAAATCTAACTACTTTAAAACAGCAAAAAAACTAGAGGTAATGAACTTCAACTCATAAGTGTGTGTTAATATATCTAAAATCTATGTACAATGATTATGGAAAATATTAAATGTTTCATTTAGAAGTGTCATTTGTAAGCAAACACTACTTAGATCTGATGATATGAAATGTCTTCACAAGTGAAATGAAAACAAAAAAGGAAGTCACTATGAAACTGTCCCTGTTTAGTCCATAACAAATTCTTTCAGCACCTGAAGTTTTTCTTTACTTTGAATATATAAGAAACCTTGACAAAGGCTATTATCTCAGTGCAAGAAACAGTCTTTCATAAATGATTGTAAAACAAAAGGAAAGATATTTGCACAAAGAAAGGGTCAGTTTTCAGTACATATGAAAGATTATTTTGATCAATCTTTAAACATTATAGCTGTATACCTATTGGCTATTAATATTCAATGTAATGTCTGCAACTAGCTTTTAAACCAATTTTCTACTAAGTGAAATTATTTGAAGGTTTAAAACTTGCAACGATTGAAGACATTTTAATACATACACTTTGGAACACTATTGTAAAATTACTCATAGAAATAATTAGCCGACTTTTCAATGCAGATATGTAAATTTATGTGTAAAAATAGAATACTTGTTGCTTGTACTTTCAATAATTAAAATAAATGTGAAAAGAGCTTTCAAAGAGCTATGTAAAACAAAATCATATTTTATGTTCAAGTGTATATTTCTATCATAAACAAACTGAAAAGTAGAACTACTGATCAAATATCTAGTAACTAATACAACAGCAAAAGAGACTGTTGCTATAACTTTTAGTCGCATTATTCACCTCATCGGTAGTTTGTAGATACAAGGTTTGATCAAGAAAGCTTGTAATAAAGAATGTATTAAAATACTTCATACACTACATTTGAGATTATTACGAGTTATGACTGAATTTAATATCAGACCATACTGATTTCTAACTTGTAACCATATATTTAAAAAATTTTTTTAAGATCAAAATAGAATAATAATAAAGTTGCTGTGTATTTGATGGATGCAAGTATGTCATTTATCTTCAGAAGTGAGAACAAATTTACTTTTATGATTCCAAGTCTATTTTTCTTGCAATACAAAGTATCTTACATTACAATGTATTGTAAATGCTTACTGAAGAAACTACAAAAAAATACCAGAAAATTCAGTAAAAAAATGGTATTTGTGCATGAATTATATAAACTAACGACACAACAATTTATTTAAAATGGCATCATGCTTATTGGGCAATGCTATATATTTTGGAAAACAGGACTCCCCATCAACATAGGAAGCAAAATAAAGAAAAACTATAAATACATTTTTCATGATGGTTATGTGGTAGTGCAGACAAATGAAACATGTACATGATGTCCAATGAGCCTAGTGCTGTTTTAAATAAATTATTGTGAACTTTTAACATTGTGGTATTTTTAGTTTATTTTAGTTTGCTTAACTGTTAGACCTAATTAAATGCAATGATGACTTGCCTTCAATTGTTTAATATGCCCGAGATCTGTAAGATGTATTATATGCTGTAACAAATATTCACCACAAAGAAAAGCCTGATGTATAAATATGCTAGTACAAACAATGGGATGTGAAGAATCATTCTAAATTTACAATGTTTTATAGTGATTTTGACAGAAAAAACACTACTTTTTTTCAGATTTAATTTGATAAAATATAATGTACATTAAAAACAAACTTCAACACTGAAGCAGCACAACCAACATCAACAAGACAAAGTAGAAGTTAAAAATATTACTATTAATACACATATCATGTTGTTAAACAGCAACAACGTCATGCACATTTAATGTTGCATATTTCAAAAACTAAATATGCTACTAACTTAACATTAATATTTACACAGTAGAAACATTAGAAAAATTTCTAAAAATCACCACACAACTTTATTATGAAGATATCTTAACTTCATTCCTCTCTCTTTTATTCTACAACTGTAGTAGATTATCAAAACCAATCAGAAATGTAAAATAAAACACTACTCTCTCAATTTAATAACAGGCAGTAAATTAATTTTAACTGTTTTAAACACAGTAGAAGGTCTGAGCCATTGTGCTAAAGATCATATTTCACTAAATTCAACAAATAAGCTAATATTTAACATTCATGAAAAACAATATAAGCTACAAGCAAAATTTAAATCCTTAATAACTAGCATTCAATGAATGTAACTACAAAACTTGATCAGTTCAATATAAATCTTGACAATATACAGTTTGGCCCAAAAATTAGTTGTCCCACAGCAGTATACACAACTGGTTTTTAATTTTTGTATGTTTCAGACTTACATACAAAAGAAATTGATAGTACATAAGTGCAACATAGGCTGTCAAAGAATAATGAGTTTTGGAATTGCAAAGCAAATGTTATCCACACAGAAGAGGTTTAAGTTTAGGGCAACTAACTTTTGAGGAGTCCTGTAGTAGAAACCACAAATATACCCAATGATTTAAGATAACAGAGTACCTAACTATAAGTTGTTCTTTAAAAATACCCAAAACAGATTTCAAAACTTTACATATATAAGAATAAAAGAGAGACTATATGGAAACAATGCCTCATGAGAGTAACTGATGTATTTGTTAACATGACTTTCATGTAAAAACAAATGTTATACAATCTATAAGAACTTTTAAGCTTGATAAATAAAGGAAGGCAAAATGGTTGAAGTCGATTCACATTGTTAACTAATAAAATAACTGGTTATTTTCAACAATGTTACATTATAGAAAATTCTGTCACTGTATCACTACTCATGTTCCTATGACAGTCTTAAATGATGAATTTATGCACAATGCAACATGTAAATGAGTATTCCCCCCAACCCTGTTAAATCTTACCCCATCCCCTCCAACCCACTGGTAAGAAATGACCCTTCCCAAATGTCAAAATGTTAAAGCTCCATATCTTGAGCTTCGTCTTCTGAAAAATCACTCATTGAGCTCTCTGATCCAGATGACTCATCATTTTGATCCTGCAAGGCTTCATCTGTAGCATATTTCTTCACATAGTCTGTTAATAGAAGTTTTACAAAGCCTTTGTTGTGATTAATAGCCTACTTCTTTATCAAACATTTGTAAAACTTCATAAATTAGAAACACAGACATGCCATTCCACAATAGAACCAGCAAAATTTACCTATCTCTTTATATGTATTAATACCCTAGATCTACAGTATGAATGCATAAATTATTATGGTTTAGTTATGAGTGGCATGTAGAATCTCAATTATGGTGTACGTGGGTTCAGTTTACTACTTATTTCTAACTGGAACTGGAATGATCTACCATTACTATATATATAATATTTTGTGTAACCCATCAATCATCAGGTGGATCCTTAAAAAATTTCTTTCTAATTACAAGCTAGTCCTTATACTCACAAAATAAGTACTCAGATTAGATAAATGGTCATTAACGCCAAATCGTGCTCTTGTTTTGCACACTGAATATCATTTTATAAACATATTAAACAAGAATATTGTTTACTTTTTTCTTATGGTTTCTTCTACTAAATAAAAATCTTATAATGATAATGTTAAGATACATTTTATGTAATTTTTATATGCTCCCTTATCATTCCATATCTTCTAGCTATATCAGACTGGTGAGCAAATGCTAGTTTTAACAACTGTTGATAGAAATTCCCCCTTTTTCAAACCATATCTCCTCTCACTACAGCTATTACTTGATTGCCAGGATTTCCTTCCTTTACCCATCTAAGCACTAGTCTGATTTTTTTCTCACTTACTCCAGTCTTTTATTCCCCTTTTAACTGCCCTTGGCAATATCTGGCTCATGAAACTCTCCACCTACATCAATGCACCCTCTATCCTGATACTGTATATAAGCACATCATTCAAATAATATTATCACTTTTTTGAGACTGACTCTATCTGCAGTCTCTAACACTGGCTCTTGGTGGGGAGGAAGGGCAGGAGAGTGTGAAAGGAAGCAAGTATTATTGGAAATATATTTTCCATTTAAAAAAATGTTAACTTCCAAAACATACTTATCTACACTCACACTATAGCTAGAATCCCACAATGATAAGGTGGAAAGGTCATGAGGGCATTATTCATATAAAAAGTGTCTGCAAAGATCATGGGTGTGCCGATTGAAGATTGGCACCCTAGTGGAGGAACCACACTACATCCGGAACAAGTATGCTCTTCACCCGGAACTGAATTTGTGTACTGTGGGTAGAAAATTACACGATTCTTTTATCACTATTGGCCAGGCTCCAACCAGATAGCTGAGGTTCCACTACTCGGGATTAGAATTACAAGGCTATGGTCCCTATATCCCACATTGGTGGTTAAGGCCATTGGACTGCAATATATATATACTTGTGAGTTGATTCCAACCTGTAGATATCGAGTGATGCTTTCCAAGCCACAGGAATCACAACAAGAAGATAAGCATCACCAGAGTGGACAAACCCTCCCCTCAACCTGCAGAAAGGCAGCACCCGAAATTTGAAATGAGGGGATCCTGTATGCCATACTTAACTTGAGGAAACAGAAATCACCCAGTCTGGAGTTATGAACACTCATCCTCACTCCCCAACTGTGTGGGCAAGGTAAATTCTATTTGTCTCTGGAATTATGGGGAGGATATGGAACAAACTGTGCTCAACCAAGATCCTGGAATGGGACCATTCAGCATTCGGAATCAATATTGATCAAAAAGAAGGGTCATGCTCAACCCAACTGGATAGCCAAGCTGGTGCCTCTCTTACCAACATCTAGGGAAAAACATCCAGGGACTCAGGTAGGAGAGCCCCAACTTTGCCCTCTTCTCCAAGAATGCAGGAAATTTACTCTAACAGTCTGGAGGAAAAGCCTCTGTCCACTACCCCAGTGACTGTAAACTGGGTGTGGTAAGAACTCCCTAGCTCCACTTGTAGAATCTGAAGTAGTCTTGAGGAACAGTTCTCTGGAAACAGTGCAATAGGTGAATCAAATTCCCTAAATTTTTAAAAGCAAACACACCCTGATTTATTCAATCCAATGATCAACAGGAACAGGCAGGATCCCCTTATGCTTTTCTCATGATAGTCCATGAGTGACAGTCCAGCATAGTATAGTAATAACACCCAGTCAGTCTACAGGTGGTCTTATGGAACATGTCATTTCTACAGAGCCTGTTCCAACATAGATAAACTATATTGAATATGTGGTTGCTAGTGGGTATTGGTCTGATAAAAGCACACCTGCCTCAGCAACACTCACCACTGAGTGGGATCCTGTGAAAATGAGGTAAGGGACCCTGAAAGGTAAAGAAAAGTATAATCTAGCAGAAGTGGTTAAGATAGCTACACAGAGTAGTTGAAAACCCTCAGATGAAGATACTGCCAGAGCATGCAAACAATGAGAGATAAAAGTATTGGGGAAGGTTCACATACCGCCCACACAATATCCTCCAGCAGGCAATTCAACTGGGCCACTAAGGACATAGAAATGTGATGAACCTGATTAGACATAACTTGCAGAAATCTCCTCGCCTTCAAAGAGAGCCCAGAATAAGTGATATGGATCAATTTTTTATGCACCTTGTCACTGTAACGGGATAAATCCTGAGAAACTGAATGATCCCAATGAATAAAAAGTCATTGTCTAGCATCTCTAAAGGCATTAGTATGGGCAATTAACCTTCGAGACCTTCACTGGACATAACAAACAATCAAAATCTGATCAGTCATGTGAGAAATAGTGATCAATGAAAATGATTTATTCCCTTCCTTGGCTGCCAGTGTCTTAGGGAAGAAAAACCGGTCTGATGATGTAGGTAGAATGATAAAGCATTCTGTGCACAATCAGTGCAAACCACTCTGACCGGAGATGTCTGAAGGTCAGCAGCAACAAAAAATAAACCTTCAGGGAAAGGTGATACATGACACATGAGGCTAAGGTCTCAAACAGGTGTTAGGTAACTGGAACGACTTGAGGGAGCCATAAAGTACTGGGGACTCTAAGAATGTTTGTCTCTAGTATCAAGCGGTAGTTGATAAGACCACCTTATACAGGTCAATTGTGGTAGATACAATACCCTTGCCAAAGAGCTAGGACAAAAAATGATTTATGGTTGGCACTTCTGATCAAAGTGGGTTGAACCTCCTCTCAATAAACCATTGACAATATGTGGTCCATTTCCATTTATAAATTTCCATCACAGGACTAAGCCAAGACTGAGACGGATACATGGCTACCTTAGAAGTTAAATCTCAACACTGTGCATAGGATTACATAGCCTCCATGTCTGAAGCTTCAGCTTCTGGATAGCTGTATGTATGATGTCAGATCATGGTTGCCTCCACAGAGATGGCCAATGAGAAAGTAGAAGAGGTAGGCAATCCTGCAAGTACTGCAGAAGCAGAAACAAGGTTGTAGCTGCCAGTCTGATGCTCTCAATAGGACCCGACAATAGGTTGGGTAACATGAATTAGAGGGAAGGCTTAGAGTTGTAATTCCATCCTGTCCTGATGGAATACATCCATTGCCAAAGCCCAAGGGTGACATACTGGAGACCAAATTGTCAGTAGATGGGTGTTCCAATGAGTGGTCAACCAACTAATCATCAGTGTTTCAAAATGAGAGCTAATCCATCATAAATCTTATGATGCAGCATCTATTCTGTTGGGAGAATCTGTTTGGGTTGAGACAATTGAACTGCCACCAAAGTCATCACCCCTAGAATATGGCAAGCTAGTAGGGTGATATGGTAGAAGTAGTCCCAAGAAAGGGGATCCAAGATTCAAATACAAAGAGCCCTGGACCAAGTGCTCCCTTGATGGGAAACGCAAGATACCACCATGGAATTGTTGGAGTGAAGCCTGACGATTTTCCCCTTAATAAGCCCAGACCATGAGGTATCACCTTTTGAAGAGCAAGAAAGTCTAAAATATTGTGTGGAGAATCCTCACCGTAGACCCTGGAATTCCTGACAGTTGGGATATGTACCCATCTCTGAAGTGAGGCATTCATGCAGAGATGGATCTCTGGATGAGTTGCCAACAGAGTAACCCATATCTTAATATCGTCTCGATCTAACAACCACTTGAGATCGAAGAGAATGATACTGAATCAGAAAACTGGGGAATCCAGTGAATTGATATTTATGATTCATTGGTCACATAAAGACCATTGAATGATTCTCTTGTGTGCTCATCCCGAAGTCATGAGGGAGTCAAATGATGCACACATTCCCAAAAGAGAAAGAACCACCCTTGCAGTGGAAGAAGGAGAGGTGAGTAAGAGTCAGACTTCCTGTTCTATAGCATGGAGCCAGATGGGAGTCAGTTGAGCCTGACGGAGATAAGTGATGAAAAAAAAGAACAGCTTGACGACGTATTGTGTTGCAGCGAGAATAGATGTCTCAGCTCTGATAATGAAGCCTGCCTTGGTTGTTTCTGAAAGTAGAATCTGGATGTGACATTCTGACAACTGATGAGATGCTGTAATCAGTAACCAGTTGTCCATGGAATGATATGCACAGGACTAGGGAATGAAGATGACAAGAAAAAGCTTGTACGATTAATCAGAACCCATGTGGTGCTGATGTTAGTCCAAAGGTAAGAACCCTGAACTGCCACACCTCACCCTTGTGCACAAAAATAAAAATGACGATAGTTGTGGGATACCATCACCATGGTAATGTGCAGATAGGAACCAACAATATTAAACTTGTACATCCACAATCAGAGTGAGGAATGCGTCACTTGTGAACCTTGGAGAATCTAAGAATTGATATAAACGAGAAGAATCGATGACTGGACACCAATCTCCTGTCTTCATGGGCCCAACAAACCGACGAGAATAAAACCAAGGAAGAACTGGCACTACTCTCTCTCTCTACCCCCAGATCAACAAAACTCTGATAGCCCTAAGTTCCAAAATTCCAAGGATTTGCAGGTGATTAAAGACATACAGGCTGGGTGGATAATGGTAACATGAAGAATGCTCAAAGTATTTCCAACGATCAAAGCACAGAAAAACCTGTCAGAGAACAATTTGTTGAGAAAAAGTGGTAACATTAGCTGAATGAGGTGCTTATATAAGGACCACGGTAGAAGGCACATTGGTGTAGGTGAAGAGTGTCACAAGACAAATATTGCCAAGAGCAATTAAGTGGGGTATAAAAGACTTGAGCAAGCAAGAAAAAAACAAACCAATGCTTAGATGGGCAAAGGAAGAGACCCTGGCAGTCGAGTAATAGCTGTAGTGTAAGAGGAGGTAAGTATGATTTGGAAAATGTGGAATTTCTATCTACCTGTGCATCAATTTCATGTAAAAATTTATTAAATAATAAATAAACACAAAACCATTTATATTAATTTTAAAAAACAAAAAGAAAAGCTAGTAAAGATAATATTAATATGATAAAATAATTTTCCCTTTTTCTGGATTTCAGTAATAATAAATACAAAACAACTTGTTTCAAATCTTTCTAATAACATGTATATCACAAATCACATTAGAGTTTCATATAAAATATTCTTACAATCAAAGAGAAAACCTACCCTGAACTTTTTTCTTGTAGTCTTCAGGTTTATGTAGATACATAGCAGCAGCATCACCATTTAATGGATCAATGGGATTAGGATAGGTCAATAACTGTGGCAGAAATGACTCAAAAATATTGGAAAGATCTAAAAAAAAATCGTCCATCTCATGATTTTCTGATATAATATGAAACATACTGGATGCATTTGGTAATTTTAGAGAAATTATAAATAAAATATTGCCCACTGTAATCACCCCTGCTATCAAAACATGCACCATGTTTCGTGGCACACCAAATATGAACGAAAAACTATTCTAAAGATAAACATATAAAAAAGTTTCGTATGAAACTTTCTACTGTGCTAGACTGATTTTCTTTTTTACACACATAATTTTCATCAATAATTCACAGTAATGCATAATGCATTAAGGGGTTTTTTTCACATATTTTCTGAAGCAAATTACATTTTAAAGAACATAATTTAAATGCAGAGTAATTAATGGTTAATCCATAGGACTTTCTATGGTTATATTAAAGACTTCAATATGCCTTATACCCAAGTTTCTAACACTGATATTTTTTTGGTTTTGTTTGTGTCTTTATGTTGTTTTGAAACAAAGCATAAACAAAATAACAAGTTAAATTTCCAATCTACAAATTTTTTAAAGTTTTAATTACTCTTAAAACATCACATACAGTATAAATATTAAATACATAATTAACAAGTGAATGCTCTACAATATGCACGCATAAAGTCATACATTAAAGAAAATACTCTTTGTAAAAGTTTGTGAGAAAGCATCAATGGTGAAGGAAGGAGTTGCAAAGTGGGGTGCTTGGCTAGACATGCAGATTTTACAATGAGAGATTAAAGAGTATAAGAAGCTGCTAAAAGCTCAATTTAGGAGGGGGGGGGTCTGAGGGCATACCCCTCAGAAAATTAATATAATAATATAGTTTACAGTTGCTATACAAGTCAAATATGTAGAAGTGATTTTGACTAATACCACTTACAAAGATTTAAAAATGATGAAAAAACATAAAAAGAGCATATTATTAACTTTTTTTAACAGATGCATGAAAAAAACTTAACAGTGCTTGAGTCAAAAATAAAAAAAAAACTTTTATATACACACTTACCATACAGTGCTGTCCATGCTTGGTTGATAACATCTAAACACACTGTACCTGATCTAAGTATTAGAAAAAGCATCAGTTGTGTTATCTGGTTCTTTTTTCTCCTCCATTGACAAATCAGATAAATAAAAACTGGATGTAAATACTGTTTCTAGAAAGTCCAGTTTTACTAATATGAACAGTTGATTGTGTAATAGAAAGACCACTTCAATTGAATAGATTTGAACAAAATCAGAATAAATGTTTGAAAAAAACACACCAAATTTATTATTTAATTTGACTTATAGTCACACAATAAATAACAGAAAATAATATGTTTATTAAGATTCGCTTGAAGTGTGAAAAATAATATTAAAAGAACAAAAAAAGGAAATTCTAAGCAAGAATGCATACCCACTAAATAATTTATAAATGAAAACATGACAGTTAGAAAGGCAACTGAGACTAAACATCACAATCAGATTTAACATTACTCTCACATACAATTGGCTTAGTATGAAAAGTGAATGTAATGGGCCAGTTAATAATGAAGTGCTAAAATATATTACAAAAAACTTATGTAACAGTGCTGTTTCATAGCAGTTACAATATACCAACCTCTAACAGAAGTATTCATGACATTGGATTACAAACTACCCAACTTAAAAACAATTAGCAGTTAGTGTAAAGTCAGTGTAGCTAATTTTTTTTTCTTTTCAGTAGCCTGATTCAATATTAATCACAGTAAATGCCTAAAATATTTTGTCTTTCAACTCTATGATGTAACTAACTAATCTTTAACAAAATCTAAACCATTCTACTTTAGGTCACAATTTCTGGTTTTATGGTCAGAGCTAGAAAAGAAAATGTCTAAATACAAGATACATCCACAGAGTGAAAAATATCTAATAATTAATACAGTATGTAGGTCATTAAATTAATTTTTCTTTTGTTAGTAGAAAAATTAACTTGAAATAAAGAAATACACCTAAGTTTACACATGTACCACAAACACTGAGCAAAAGCTGAACTATATTCTCTATTGTACTTTAATCTTGTAAATAATACAGTATATGATTTTATTTAAACAAACACTGAACTTTTTTTAAATAATGCTACGAGTGCAAGAGTCAATAAGACACTGCCTTGCTGAGTAATAAAGTGGTGTTATGCCTACAGCTCAATTCACCGATCCATGCTTCTGACAAAACCTAAATGTTTTGTAGCTCAAAAACTAAATATGAGGTACAAGTAAAACATTTTTTGCTATTTCCCTCTAAAACTGACATATGAATATGATATGAATTTAAATATTATATGGATGCACAAAATAAAAATATATTTAGAGAACCTTACAGAAACAATATTCTGAGTATTTATACCTGTCTTTGCAAGGTACAAGAAAACCATTACAGCTACTACTGTCCTTTAAAACTGCAACATGCATGCACATATCTACACACAATATTACTTACACTTCATCAATGTTTGGATGATAAATCTTGTTTATAAAACCTGCAACATAACATAAATTTCACATGAATTAATCAGGTAAAAATAAAAATTTAATTGTAGCAAACATGTTCAACACTTTCATGATTTTAACTCTCTATTGCACAGATTATAAAAATATGGTGGAAAAATGTTTTCTACTATACTGTACAAAAAATGTTTAGTAGCACAGAAGTTTAACACTTCCATGACTGTTTAACCATTTATTACACATATTATGAAAATATGGTAGAAAATATGTTTTCTTTAAATTTCTTACTTAAGGTCAATACAGCCCCCAAAAAAATGTTTTTGTGAAATATATTTTGATAAGTTTTAAATGGGTATGTTACTTTGAAGTAACATTGTTGTTCAATTGAGGTACCAACAAAAATAATTCAATGGTTTATACAGACTGTAACCTGGAAGTAAGAGCATTCAACTACAGAATCAAAATATTTGTATATGTATCAAGCAACAAAGACTTGTTGCCTGTAGTTACAATGTGCAATAGAGGATTATAAAATGCTCTTATTGAAGTAACACCAACTTATGATAAACCATACTGGTGAGTAAAGAATTAGGCATGCATGTTACCAATTTATAATGAACAGTTTATGCCTTGTTTCCAGGTAATTATCAAGTTGCATACTAGTCTCTTAATATTAACAGATACCTAAAAGTCTTACAAAAGTAATATAGATTAATGAATAAACATGAAAAAAGCCATAGCCACAGAAAAAGAAAAAAAATATATATATACACCTGGAAAAAAGTTAAGCACCCCCGTGTTTTTTTCAAGTGATTCAGATTCGAC